ATTCGAGTCTCAATGGACAATTCATTTTTGAATTAAATATTTATTATTGTCATTTTTCTATTCGAGTCTCAATGGACAATTCATTTTTGAATTAATCCTCATGGAAATTTGGAATTAAAATTCCCCAAGAGAGGATTAATTAATGAATTTTTAGAAATCGTGAGTAATTCTTATCGTAATTCCAGTAATTCGCTGAATTGCACCGCCATTTTTATTGGAAAATTGGAGATTATCGCGATGAGGGTTGGGATTTTTTTCGAGAGATAGTTTGTAATTTCCGGGATTTTTTTGCTTGAAGAATTTTTCTCCTTTTGTGCAGAAATTGAAAGGAAAAATAGCGAACAATTGAAAACACGTCCTGGATTACGACCCCATCCCCGACAACAAGGATTCCTCAGTAATCGAATTTATATCCGATAATTTCATATTCCCCTGAACTTGAGCATCTCCAATACGATATATCCCCCCCTGAAACCGCAATATTCGAGCAACTCAGAGGTAAATCTGCTCGAACGCTCTCCATTCAGGAAATAAGAGGGAAAAATCTCCAGACATCTAGCTGTAAACGGCTCCCAACCAATCTCATCTATCGTGTATTGATCTTTCGTCAATACCTGTGGGACTGGGTGTCCCTGTTTGTGCCAGATCTTCCGGCAAAGAATCAACTTGTGGCGCATTTTCACAACAACCACGAAAATCTAATGAAAAAAAAAAAGCTAAACCCAAAGACTCATCGTTTCTCACCCATTTCGATTGCCTTTCTCTCTCTCAATTCTCTTGCTATTCATACCCCTCCGGGAATATCCACTCGCTTTTCTAGATTCTCTTCAGCTCTTGATTAGAGAAATCCCGGGGCTGCATTCTTATACCCATGGAAAAAAAAGGATCCCTAACAAACAGAGGGACTTGTACTATTGCTTTAGGGTCTCCTTGGGCCCTTCTACAGCCATCGGAATTGCCAATTAGATAGCATTTCAGGGGTTGGATTAAAGGAGGCATTATACTCACGGATTTCCCAAGGAAAATTCGGAAAAGTCCTTTTCTAAAAATCCAAGTGTAATGAAACGGGTTTTTTTTGCCGCATCGCTATTGCATAAATTATAATGTGTAAATAGCTTGAAAATTGAATATTATACATTATTATCATTGAAAACATGAATATTCCAGAGCCATATTTAATGAAAAATTCAAGGATACCCCCATCCGATTTTCCATGAATTTCCATGGCATAATGCGGATGAATTTATAATTTTCACTGCCTGCTACCTGAAATTTTCAATCTGAAGAACTAATTCAAAGACTAATCATCCCATCAGATAGTAGACTAATTAATCAATTAGTTACAGTAATGCCGATGAATAAATCTTGAATTTTCAATTAAACGAAAATTCAGTGTAATGTGGTAATTCGGGGTAATGAATATTCCATCGTGGAATTATTACAAAATTTTTAATTTAATTGAACTCTCTTTTGCTTGAGATTTCCTTCCATTTTTCCAACATCGTCCGCTCAACTCTCTAAACCCCGAGATTGTACCAGAAAAGCGACGAACTTGTCGGAACGACTCCATTTTAAATGAAAGTTTCAATCCTTTCATACGAATATACTCTGGAATAACCGAAACATAGTAATTCAGTGAATTCATTCGTTAGAGCGGCCGAGCGGTCGTTTTCAGGCGATTTGAGAGGTTGTCCATGGGAACAAAGGAATGAAGTACCCTTTCAATTCGATCCTGTTGTCTTTTCAACGGGATTCGCTACATTTCCTCCTTCTTCTAGGTCGATACAATGAGTCATTATTGAAAAGTTGAAGTAGAGAGTCATAACAAATCGATTCTGGAAATATTTCAGATCGAGCCATCGAAACGATCGGTTACAATCGAAAAATATCGAGCTGAGTTATGCTGATAAATTTGAGCCAATCAAATTTTTTTTTCATTTATACTCGATTAGGAAAATTGTATCCCTCGATTTAAACAATTCAATTTTCCATACTTTATCCAACGCGGTATTTGCAGTTCTTAATTATGCGATAACTTGGAATAATGAACGGTTATCGTGTGTGCCCTTTGATGGCTCGTGGAAAATTCACTGATATTTTCCACGGTTTGTCGAGTTGGCTGTCGACAATAATTAGTGTACTGATGATATTAGCAAAGTTTTAGCTGTCACTGCACTGGAATAATAATTCAACTCTCAAGTCAAACTCAACTTTCGTGAAGCGGTCACGTATATTCTCGGAATAGAGGGACAATTTTTCGAGAATTTCGTGGCATGTCATTTACTTTATGCCCAGACGTATAAGGTAATCCCGGTTAACATGCAATTTGACCATATAGTTACTGGCAATGATGAGGGAATTTATGGTAAAATCGATGGTTACAAAGACTTCATGGAACAAGTGGGGAAGGGGGAGGGGGGAGGGGGGAGAGTTATGCCAAGAGTGAAGGGATTAGAGTTCCGAATTTTTGAGGAAATAATTGTCAACTGCCCAAAAAAAAAACGATTTTTACCAATTTTTTAGATAAACCGAATGCCAATTTTTGTGTCACGTACGTCAATTGCTACGTACGTCACGATAAAATAACTGGTGTTATGACAGGCATAACGTTAGATCATCTGGGACGTGACCCAAGTCGCGTACAACCCATTGAAGTGTCAACAATATTTACGACACGTGAGAGCGTTTGATAACGCAAACTTTTCCAATCGCGTGAGATCCAAGCACGAGAAGTGTTAAAACGAACTTAACCGCGAAAAACATGAGAAGTAAACGTACCAACTCCTGGGGATAATCCTTGGTACATTTGCTCCGAATAAACCCCCAACGACAGTTATACAGCAGGAAAATGTTCAATGATATAATTAATTATAAAATAATAATAGCTTTGGTAATCGATTTCATCCGATTGTTGTTGGACGATTGAAAACTATGGGCAACGGTATTTTCATATTTACAAAGCACCAGCTGAAAGTTCAGGGGAATTTCAGCGGAAAAACCTGATAAACTGCTGTCGAGACTCTTTCGTTTATTTTTCAAGTTAAAAAAAATATATGAAATAATTTGATGAGCGCTTCCCACGTGTATTACTCAGTAATGCCCTTTATGGCTGAGCCACCTAGGCCATGAAAAAAACAGTGGATTTGTCGCCATGAAAGTAGAGTAAAAAGAGAATGCGGAGAGAAAAAAAAACTATTTTACGAGGTCCTTCGTAATACCTCAACCCACCTTATTCTCTCAACCGTTTTACAGCCGAAGCTCTTATATTTATACACAGCGGAAGAAGGAAAAAAAAAGAATTCGGCACGGAAGCCCATGAATGGCGCGATGGGCGCGGGAAAATACATGTAAAAGTAAGCTGTGGATATATCCAACGTAACGGCTTCTTTATGATCATCATATTCTTCGGTCTATTCCGTGAAAAGAGAAATCGCTGCGGGAAAAATATTTGATTCACTTTTAGTTCAGGTGACTCGTGACTCTTTTTATTTTCTACACTCAATTCAGTGAAATATCGGTTTTTCAAGAACATTAAATTCAAAATCTCGTGAAAAGTCGGAGGAATATTAATTTTTCCCAGGAATATTAATTCTCACCCGTTTTCGACTTAATTCCCATTAATATTTTAGTCAAATCGCAAAATTTCCATTTTTCAGGCACTAATTAAATTGAAATCAATGAATTCGCCCTGTGGGACGGCTTGTATC